TGGGGGTGGGCATTTTATCGTATTTGGTCATCCATCCATCCATCCATCCATCCATCCATCCATCCATCCATCGATCCATCCGAGAGGCTGTCTTTCATAATAAAGTTTTAACAGGGTAACCTGCAAGCCCTTTGTACCATATTTCAGAACTTTAAAGTACACACTCACACACACACAAATAAATATACAAATGCAGGGATAGCAGAAAGAAATTCTGTTGCGTGGGATCCCATGGAAATAGGGAGCCTGTGAAATGGTTGCATTGTATGTAGGATTCTGAAGGCACTCTCCCATGTTTTTTGTTTTATATTTATAGTTTTTAATTATTTTTTTTATGGTTTTGATTGATCCTGGTTTCTTTTAATTGTGTACGCCACCCAGAGTCACATATGTCAGATGGCAGCTCTATAAATCCAATAAATAAATTTTAAAAAGTGCCATTGTTATATACAAACGATTAAGATGTTTTAAAGAATCAAATGAATCAAATTGTAGAAAGTTTCTAAAACCCATGGGAGGAAAAAAAAAGTTTCTCCCTGGTGCCAGAGGAATGCCAGATCAGACATCTGGAGATGAAGGGCCCTGAAGAGAAGGGGAGCTGCTACTGAGTATCAGGGAATCCTTCAGGAGTATCCTCAGAGGTAGAAAGAAGTCCTTCCTTCAGATACCCTATCTCAGCCCATGAAGGAGTTTATACACAAATATAAACACCTCAGAAATGAAATGAAAGTCAAAGAAGAGGAGGTAAAGCTGGTGTAACGTAGTCATAAACCCTAGTCAGTCATCTGACTGCCATATTGAATGCTAAGCAAGCAATCTTCGATTTCCTTCTTGCTGTTTTTCTTTCCAACTCTTCCATTGGAGCAGAAATGAGAAATGTTCAAGTGGCAAGGGCTGGGTTATAATTCCACTTGTTTATTTTGTTAAGTGCGTGAGACCGCTAAAGGTTCTTTAATTTTCTATTGAATTTTAAAATGTCTCACATATTCCTACACCGTGGGGCCCAGCTGAGGAAGCTTCCTCTGTATCTGTATTTCCTGGAATGCCCACACGCTCAGGCAATATTGTGTGATTGCCTGAGCAGTCCAAGAAGCGACACCCAAATAGGAAACTTCAGTTGGCAAGTTCAGCAGGGCTACGAAGGCACAAAGACTTGTTGACAGAAATGCTTCTACGAAGAGCCCTCCACCCGTGTGCATGTGTGTGGCATTTTTAGAAATAAAGAGAACACTTAAATAAGATAGCATAACAATCCTTCCTGTTCTCCAGGCAATTTTCTGGCTGATTATGATTTTTCTGTTTCTCTTTTTTATTAAAAATTTTTAAAATTCAAGAAGATGGAAAATGACACTACAAAGTGGAGAGTAAAATCTAGCAGATATTTAGAGTATCATATATCCTTACAGCTCATCTTACTGAAGTGCTGAGATAGCCTGCTTTTCAGCTACAACACTGCCATATCCCAACCTTGTCCTATTTTTAAATATACCTATTATTACAATCATTATTCAGATATTTATACCTTCCCTATCCGGTTCACAATGAGATGCTTAAGGCACCTAACATAATTTGAAAGTAGTTATATTGTGAGCTAAGAACAATGAAACAAACTGAGATAATCCAAGTTTGTTTGCTTTCCTCTCACACAGACGCAATCTTGTCGAGCGAGTTAATGAACACTATCTGAAAAACTGCATTTATCACAAAGACACAGATCCACTATGCCCTGTGTTTAAACTTGGATATATAGTAGAAGAATCTGGACAGAATTTTTCTCAACTTGCTTTTAAGGTGAGGCTATTCTGAATGATCAGAGGTACAAAAAGTTGACAGACCATAGGCGAAGCCATAGGCATTCAATAGAAGACACAACAATGTCACACGTATCATGACATCATTGTGAAAATGGCATGAATTATGTTATTTGTACAATGACATAAGGTACATGACATCACTTTCTTCTTTGTAATCCCCTGCAGTGAAGGCAATCTGATTATTACTAAGCATAACCTTCCCCCATTTTGCTTCACCAATCTCTGTCAGTGTCACATTGTGGTGACCTTTATGGGGTATGATCAGTCTGGCATCTAATGGCCATTTTGGGCTGCTCCTGTCCTCTTTGGTCTCTGGGTGCTATATTCCATGGAGATATTGCTTTGGGATATAGGACACTCTGGTCCTTTCAAATTGGCCTCCTCCCCTGTACCCACCACATTTCCAAGCTGACATCTAGATCAGCCTAAACAACAGCTGATCAGTGGTGGCAGTGCTGGGACTTCTTGGTGAAGTGGGAGAAAGAGAATCTCTTTCTGCTGCTTCATTGCACAATTTTCACTGTACTTGCCGGCCATTGTTCAGGTTATTTCTGAACACAGGTTTAGCACTCTTCCACCATAGTGCTAAACTCATGTCCAAAGGACTGTGATCAGTTCTGTCTTGGTGTGTTTCACATGGGTGTGTTCTTTTAGATATGGCTTAGCACTATTCCAGAAGAATGCCAGAATAGCATTAAACCCTTATACCTTTAAACTGTATATACAAAACACCTATGCCGCATCAGAACAAGTTTTGACAGATGGCTAAACTTGTCATTTATCAAACAACAAGCACTAGCCCTTTCCCTACTAAGGAGAATGGCTGGATATTTTCCCACTGGCTGGTGGTGATTCACGGGCCAACCAATCTGGGGGAATCCACCAATCTCTGTCTTAATGTGCCCTGTGCGCTGAAAATGAGGACAATGCCATTTGTTAGTATCACGCCTATGGCAGGATAGGGATTGCCAGAAGGGGCAGCAAATTTTATGCCAGAGCACTTTTTCTGCCAGTTCAAGGGCTGGCAAATAGCACTTTAACTCAGGTGTTTCCTTTTGTCTCCATAGGTCTACCTATATGCTATAGGCACACAGCTTAGGTGTCAAACAGCCTTCTCCTAGCTGACATTCTAGAAAGTCAGAGGCCATCTCTGTATCTTGTGCTGATAAATTCCATAGGTTAACGATGTCATGTGAAAATATATACTTTTTTTCCTAGTCTGAATTTCCCACTATCTAGTTTTTATTGCATGACCTCATATTATGAGAGCAGGAGAAAACATCTATTCATTTTTGCAACATCATGCATCACTGTAGTTATTTGTAAGACTGATATGACTGCCCAACTTAGTATATGACTCAGCTCAACCACCAGGACGTGTGAACAGTTCACACAATGAACATGCTAATCACCCCCAGCAGCCACTCGTTAACAACTCAAAAGAAGAAAAAACCCTGCTTAGCCCCCAGGAAGATACAGATGCTGACACCAAAACAAGCAGCCACTTGTTAACCCAAGCCCCCCCAAT